AAGCGTCTCGGGTTTCGGGGGCCTGCTCGGACCGGGACTGAAAGAGCCCGCGCTGGAAGATGCTTGTGGCTTATAGCCGAATGTTCGTGTATGCAGAGGGTTTTGCCGCTTTGTATAAAATTGTCGCTTTTTGCCCGATGCAATAACTTAGCGGTTGGCGCCAGTCCGGCTGGGAAAATTGCAGAGAACAACTCTACGAGAAATTAAGTTTGACCGTTAGGGCGCCAGGATGACAGCTCGCCGACCATTGGAGAACAGTGTACCACGTGTGAGTGGCGGAATTTGAAGAGATTGGTCGGTTCCTGAGGGGAAAGGAGGCCCCTACGGACCTACAAAAAGAGCGCGGAGAGGATTTTGAGGGATTCGGACTTTGGATTTGATGGAGAGAAATTGGGGACGGGGGTCGAGACTTTAGACGAGGCGGGATGGTCTCCCAAGTTGGGAATTGTAACTAGTGTGTAAATAAATGCACATAGTACTCTACAAGCAGTGAGTCGACCCGTCACTCAGCGACGTTCGTGCCACCACGCTCCAGACCATCGAAGCGGAACCTGCCTCCCACACCACCGGGAGGAACAACTTTAACTAAGACAATCTAAATTTGTTTTTTGAATCATTATGTATAAATTTTGATGCGCTGCTTTGTATGGAAGCGTGGATCCCTGAAAAATCCGAGCCCCCTCATTTCAGTGGCTATAAATGCTCCAGCCTGGGCAGGAAAAATAAAAGGGGAGTCGGGGTTGCGATTTATTTAAGAGAAGACATTTTTTGCCATGTGTTAGACGAGTTTTCCGCTATCTCGAAAGACGTCGAGTCTCTTGTTGTTGACGCCGGAAGTGTTATTGTTTGTGTTGTTGATAGACCACCGACTGGAGACAAATCTGTGTTTATATCTTACTGCGAGGACTTGCTTGGGTTTCTTGGCTCAACAGCTAAGCCATTTTTTATAATGGGTGATATAAATATTGATTTACTTAGAGAAGAAAAGCATGCGTTGGAATTACAAAATGTCTTGTGCACCTTCGGATGTATTAATACGGTAACACTGCCCACCAGGGTGACCTCAGATACCGCTACTTGTCTTGACGTGTGTATAACTAATTTAAACACTCATGAGGTATCTTCTGGCATTTTTACACACGACTTAAGTGACCATTTACCTATTTTCTGTTTTGCACCATTGCTTAAAAAAAAGCAAACTCAACGTAGCAGTTACAGTTACAGGAAAATAGACGAAGATTCCCTGATCAAGTTTCGTGACCTGATCACTGCCATCGATTGGAACAGTGAGTATGTTGAACACGACCCAAATATCGCGTACGCCAGCTTTTCTAAAAAACTTAAAATATGTTATGACACTGCCTTCCCACTTAAACTGACGAACAAAAGAAAAGGTAGATTGCGCAAACCTTGGATGACCAATGACTTATACGCTCGGATTAAAGAAAAAAATAAAAAATACCATGATTTTCTTAAAAGCAGAGATCAAGATCTTTTAGCAGCCTACAAAAAGTACAGAAATAAGCTAACAACTGATTTGAAAAATACAAAACAAGATTATTATCAACGCCTATTTGTTCGCGTCCAGAATGAGCCCAGAAAAGTATCGGAAGCGGTAAATACCCTCACAAACAGCAGCAATCGCGCCACAGAAATACAATCTGTGATTGTCGATGGCAAGCGTGTGAGCGGTTTGGACTTATCTAACGCAATGAACGAGCATTTTGTAAAAGTTGGCCAGTGTACTGCAGATACGCATGCATATTACAACACACACATATATAAACGATATTACAGCAATCACGAGATCTCATGAGCTTATTTTGTATGCAAATGACACCAGCGTATTTTTTGCAGACTCATCCAAAGCCCAGTTAGAACTATTGACAAATAGCTTTCTTGCCGATCTAGCTACATGGCTTCAAGCAAACAAGCTAAATTTAAATACGAAAAAAACGAAGTATATACTATTTGCACCTAAAAACAAACGCGACAGTATCAACTTAGTTATACATTTTAAAGATGAAATTATAGAACAAGTCCACGAACAAAAATTTTTGGGAGTTTGGTTTAATCAAGAGCTAAATTGGAACACACACGTGAATAAATTAAGTTCCGGGCTTTCACGGTCGGTTGGATGTCTATATAAAATAGGGAACCTTATACCAACATGGCTAAAGAAAAACTTATATTATTCGCTCTTTTACTCTAAGCTCTGTTATTGTCTTCTAGTGTGGGGCACGACATCGACCACAAACTATAACTCGTTGCTCACACTGCAGAAAAAAATGTTGCGCTTACTTGAAAATTATAAGGGTAAAATACAAGACCTACATACTGCACCACTTTTTAAAAAATATGGCATTCTTAAGGTCAATCAGATATATTATTTTAAATTATTACAACTGATTCACAGACAAAAACTATATGTGACGGATTTAAGTGACGTACCGCATGCATACCCTCTTCGACACACATATAGGCGGCCCCCTCAGACCCGTACAAATTATGGAACACAAACAATGGAATATCAAGTCAGTAAAGCTCTGAATAACATTAAAGACCACATAAATTTTAATAACAATTTTAGTAAATTTAAAAGGGATCTCAGGACACTCATGGTGGGCAGTGATAACCCCTTATTATTTGAATTTGCATGTAATAACTAGTTGTTTTTTTGGTATATTCAAAAAATGAATATAGTGTTTAATACTAAGCGTTAACTTTGTAAACTGTGTGCTGCTGGAAAGTGCTGCTTTGGGGACAGGGACCTTTGTCAGGCTTTGAGCCTTTAGTCTCTGTCTCCATTTCGGTTGATTCCGGAAAAATAAACATTCCTTCATTCCTTCATAGAAGGGTGTGACTTATAGTCCGGAAACTACGGTAATTAATTTGCTTCCTGTTTTTCCTGCGCGGGAGAGAAAGTGTGAGAACAACATTGCATCACCAAGTGCACAGCATCGCAGTGAGGTTCGAGCTCGCCAAAGCGGAACTATATTACGCCTGTAGGACGCACTTGAAAGAAGGTGCGAAAAATTGTGCCACTCGTGCTTGACCGTGCCCGGAAAAAAGCGAGTGGTGCGTTTTCGACGACGAGTAGCGATGTCGTGATTGGGACAACGTCGACCTACCACGGTGATTGCGCGAATTATATTCAAGTGAATACAGGTGTACACGCGGACGTCAAAAGGCTATTATTTTGTATTCTGGGCCCAAGCGATAAGGTAAGAAAACTAGTTCTGTGTCCGACTTGTTTTGATCCTGACACTCGCATAGGGACATATTGCATTTGTTCGAACTGTTCTGTTTGCGCAGACACACAAGCACTGTCGTGTTTGGCGACGTGGGCAAGTAATAAAGTCGAAAGAATGGTACCAGTGGCTTCTGCTTCACGTCTGGTTTCGATCGTGTCATGAATTAACAGATGCTTGATTGTATGCTGAAAAGAAACAATTCTGGCTCTCAAACTTCGAAATTGATGAGTAGATGCGAAAAAATCCCTCCCATTCTGAAGCTTTCTGCTAACACAATCTCTCAAACTTTACAAAATTTTTTGGCTCTATTTCTTTTTTTTTTAGTTTGTCTGTGGATTTTTGTTGGAGTTTGTTCAGGATTCTCACATAAACCTTGTTGGAGTTTGTTCAGGACCCTCACATAAACCATGTGTTCACAAACTCATATGCACACAAACATCAACGGCAGCAAGTAATTCTGCTCCAAGATAAAATCAAACAGTAAAAACCTATTTTATGCATTACCGAACCTGCGTTCAGGCTAACATAAAAAGTTAGATTTGGGCAAATATGAATTAATATTCCAAAATGTGATTAGTTTGATTAAGTATCTTCACTGTCTGGACGAGTCAGATGCGTGCACCTTTGATTTCAAAATTAAGCGATCATAGTGTTGAGCGTGCAATCGACACGCACACGATATAGACTTTTTGCGCTTGACGGCCACGGCAAGTTGCCCAGTCAGTTGCAAAGCATTACTGCACTTCAAGGAGCCAGTGGACGTGGAAAACACAACGGGAGACCGAATTAATTGTGAAACACACAAAACATAGCAGTGATGTTGCCTTTTAACAGCATGCAAACAAAACCCGAACCGGAAGTGTTCTTGGCTCCCTGTAATGCCGGCCAGAAGATTTACCAGCACTTCTTGCACCGGCGCAGAAAAGTGTAGGTACTTCCGGTCATACCTCAACACACAAGCAGGAAGTACACTGCCCTACACTTTTCTGTACTGGTGCAGGAGGTACACGTAAATCGAACGAGCTTAGTACGCTGAGAGACTTGGTTCCGGAATTGTGATATTCAAATATGTTAGGTCAATAGAAACATTAAACGGTTTACGGTATGCACTTTTTTTCTTTAATGTGCGAAATTTGATGAAATATAACTGGCCGAATTTGTCAAATATCATTGCGAGAAAAAGTGATGTCGACAGTTCAGGTTCAACATTCTCAAAACTTATTTCTACAAAAAAAAAAAAAAGAAAAAAAATTGAATTGTCAATGAAGGTTTGATTTGACACGATGGACACTGGAGAAATGTTTGTCGTTCAGATAGTGCCTAAAAACAAATCATCCTCCAGTAGTAATAAAAAAAAGTTTTACATAAGTGTGAATTTAATGCTCCCCTGTTAATTATTTATATTTAAATGGGGACGTTCTCAAGTAACTCGGGTAGACAGAATAACATGTCAAATCCTCAAAGAGACAAGTGAAAGTCATCTACAATCACACAAAATCGGTGAAAAGAAAACAAAAAAGCGTTTCTTTTTTTTTTTTGCTAGTTTGTCGAAGTAACAAACAAGGATATGCAAGTGGAAGGGCCGGGATGCTGTGTTGGTATAATCCGTTACGCACAAACTAAATAAAACAAAAACAATAGGTTGTTACGAAATGCTGGTTTCGGTTTTAGCCAGCGTGATACCTAACAAAGTGGACAAAAATGCAGAAAGTAAATACAGGCAACCAATAAGATACGCTTACTTACCCGGGTTGCACTTGAAAACCTTGCTAGTGATATCTTTGTGGGTACCGTTGACGCAAATGCAAGAGCCTTCGCTGCAAACGGCGTGCCTGTCATGCTTGGTGCAGTGTTTGAACGAATCACATTCGGGAGAATTACCTGCAAGCAAGGTAAGGCGACACAAAAACTCAAGCGTCTTGCCTACTAGCTAGGTGTCAAAAGTGAGACGCCTGCTAGGGCTAGGGGTCAGGCACTCCCAGCAAAAGTATGAACTATTTGAGCACGCACCTAGGCAAATGAGGGGCGAAACAAAAGGTGTACTCACCGTATGTGAGAAGCACGGTCGCTGGAAAACACATAAGTGTTATCTTAATGTATATTTTGTACATTTAACACGATGTCTGCTACACATCGCTACTACCAGAAGACTACGCGATTGACTAGGCCGTGCGGAGCGAATGAGCAGTTTCGGACTTTAATGGTGTTTTAAAAAGGAGATGCTACTTTCGCTTAATAAAGCGGCGTCGATTAAATGGCATTTAGTTCAAAATATAAGAATTTCAGAACGCGGAAAGGGTAGCTTATCGTAAAGAGAGTTCGCGCCCTGCCTCCTGGTCGGGTACTACCGCGCATGACGTGTGCGTCATGCGGGAAAACCCACAACTTCCTGATTCACGAGCGTCAAAATAATTTTTAAGCTATTTTGACGGTGGACGTCGAAAAAGTCACTGCCAATTCAATACACATTATACACGTGCAAAAAAGAAAAAAAAAGAAAAAAAATGGAAAAAATGTTTGTCGCTGTATTAAAAAAAATAAAAGTCAAAATAATATCACAGATACAAAACTCGCCGAAGGGACACTACAGCGAAATTTCGGGGCTTATTTTTTTTTTTCTCTATGTGTTCAAAGGTGCAGTATCACATCGGACACACCAATATATTGTTAAAAAAGACACGTAAAGAAGTTTTAAAAGCAAATTTTAAATTTAAAAAGCCGTTTACAAATCCCTGTAACGCCGAATTGGAGCGCAGCTCTTGAGGAGGAGTAGGGAAGGGTACTGAGGGGGGTCACGTCACCTGCGGGTAGTCACGTGACCCCGGGGGGTCACGTGATCTCGGAGGAGGGGGGGTCACGTGACCTCGGGGGGGGGGGGGGGGATCACGTGACCTCGGGGGGGGGGGGGGGGGTCACGTAACCCCCCCCGCCCCCCCCCCCCCCCCCCCGGTTACGCCGGCGCCGACACCGACGGCGACGCCGACGCCGACGCTGCTCAGGCTGGACACGGGCCCCTAAGAGCAGCGCTCTAAAAGACACGTAAAGAAATTTTAAAGCAAATTAAACGATTAGCAAAGAGCACCTGGTGGCTGTTAATTGTTAAAGTCTCGATCGTGCCCGTCTAGGAACCTTGACAGGTAGTGACGACAACTGTCTCGCCTAGAACCAACATTAATAGATTAGCTTAGTTATGGAACTGCTCGTAGACGCTGCTTGCACAAGTAGTACCCCCCACCCCCCCCCCCTCCCCCTCACTCACCACGACTCGCCTGCCGTCACTCGACGTGCCGGACGGCTGCTTTGATAACTGCAGCAGATTCTATGGGATACATATGTTTTGATGTGATAACAAGAATTAAAATGACATTGCCCTGCCAAGAGAAAAGCATTCTTATTTGAACAATTGAGAGCAAGTAGACTGTTGTTCTCGTTGCTCAGTTCACTGAGGAGTTAACCAAGCTCAACATGTCTTTAAAGAAACATTAAATTAATTTGACAGTTCATTCGTTCCTGACGATTTTCATTACAACATCCTGAACAAATACGTGTATTTTAATGGTGATATATGCATATATATATACATTTTTTTAAAGTGAGAAAACCGAGCATGTCGCTTTATCTTTGGAAGTTGCTACTGCTGATCGAGGGTTTGTGCAGCCGAGATGCCCTTCAACCAAGCCTTCAACGAAGAGCGTGCACTTGCAGGCTAGGAGCAGAAATGTTGTACGTTATAAAAATCTGGAAAGCAAAAAATAAAGCGAAAAAAAAAAAAGAAAACAGACAAGTATAAACTATGTGAATGCGTTAAAAGAGCAGAGCTACGTTTCGAGTGAAAGTGATTGGCGAGATGCGATCATTATACGGTGCATTGCCTTTTCCAGGGCATGGGAACTGGAACTCGTAGCCGGTGGTTGCCTGCAAGCTGCATCCCAGCGAGTCACGGGCCGCACATGGTCCGTGGGCCGCGTGTTTGAGACCCCTGGGCTAGGGCATCCCGACGACGTCAGCCTCGGAGCAAATTTGCAATCAGACTACGTCATGATTGCGCCAGATGTGACATATGGTCTCCGCTGGCTGCTCTCCGGGCACTTGCCAGAGTGGGCCGTTTATAACGAAAAATACAGCCATGGAGGCTCAAAATACAAACGTGCGATGGTCATTTATGGATATTGCAGATTATATTCAGCAGCTATTTCTGAACACGACGGGTATATTTCAAATTTCGTTGAAGTATCAATTTAAAGAAATTAAGGGCCCCTGAAAAGAAAATTATTTTACAGCGGAGCTGTTAAGGGCTAGCAGCATCGTGTCTGCAGACAAGCAGCGTGTCGACACAAAACGCCACACAGCTACCGCCATCTTTGAGCGACAGCGGCAACGAGACAACCGGCTTGGTGGTTGTCTGGTTGCCGCCGTTGCTCATAGATGGCGGCAACCTTTTCACTCTGGTTTTCACCAGAGTGGAAAGGCTGAATTTCTTATGGCATCATCCTAGAAGTCGTCCTTAACGTTGTCCTCGAGGTCATCCTTGAAGTCATCCTTGAGGATCCTAGACAATGTCCTCGAAGTTGTCCTAGAAGTCATTCTTGAGGTCGTCCTAGGCGTCGTCCTTGAGGTCATCCTAGACGTTGTCCCTGAGGTCATCCTAGGCGTCGTCCTTGAGGTCGTCCTAGAAGTCATCCTTGAGGTCGTCCTAGAGGTCGTCCTCTAGGCGTCGTCCTTGACATTGTCCTCTAGGCATCATCCTAGACGTCGTAAAGATAACAGTTTCGCTGGTCCTCCATCTTTACGTGAAGTGGCAGGGCTCTACATTTTTTAAACAGTCTGTTTGGGACACGCATGTCAACAAATTAGTTTTACGCGAAAAACTATTTTTTTTAGAGCAATATTGACAGTGCGAGACACAATTTAGTTGGTAGTTACCTCCTTTCCACTTATTTTCTCTCTTGGTATTTCGGGCAGGTAGACAAAAGGTGGATTGGCTTCGCCGTCACGTTGAGGTGGAAAGAGCGAATGGCCATCTCGTTAAAATTGAAGGAGTGAATGAACATTCCGTGACGTCATGGACTTTTCGCAGAGAATTTCAGATAAATCTCTTGCTGCCAATATTGCTCTAAATCTTTTTTTTTTTAAATAAAATTTATTTTTTGACAAGCATGTCCCAATTAGACTCTTAAAAAAAATTTTTTCTTTTCAGGGATTCGTTAAGACTGCATACATGTAGGAATGCAAAAGAATTCCTACACGCAGTGCATTCCTACAAGCAGCACGCAACATCTTCCTTTCGCATACGGCGCTCTGGCGGTGACATCACGCTTCCCCACTGCGCAGGTGCGGCAAACACCACCAGCATCCGTGACAAAGCATATGCGTTGCTGTGCTTTTCCATTGTCCTTTTCCGTTGACCTTGAGCGACCCCAGTGGCTTTATGGCTTCCGTGACGATGCATCTGCGTTGCTGCGCTTTTCTTCGCGTTTTATTTCTGAGGCGCGTCCACTTTGACCTTGAGCGGCACGTGCTTGACGACATATTTTTATGGCCATCTTTCGGGCACAACGCCGACGCCGCCTTTTCGCGTAATAGGGCTAGGCTTTCGCCTTAAAAAGTCCGATTTGGATCACAGTTTTACATGGTGCCTGAGCGTTCATGCGTATATGGTGCATGCTTTGGTCGCTTTCTTAAGCTTTCCAAAGCCACGAAGCAGGACTGAGGATTGAAAAAGTGTAGTGTGCATAAGTCCTAAGAGAGAAAACCGCACCTAGCTGAACTGTGTTTTTCATTCTTGACAAGTCATATCCTCAGCCTAGCGAATGGCGCCTAACATTGGACCTTTTTCACGAAGGGTTCTGCACACGCGCAAGCCTTCCTGTCGCAGCGGCGAAAGCTCTAACTTCGGTTGGCATCTGGAAGAATGGCTGCACCGGTTGCACTAGCAGGCTCTCCCGCCTCTTCCGCGACTCGAATCGGCCGCAGAGAAGGCAGGAAAGGTATCACAGCTCCGATTCCATCCACCAACCATAGTTGGAGTTTTAACCACTCAGTGTCGTCTTTATGCGAAAAACGTCCATTTCTTTTGTAAATCCGCCTTACACCTGGGCACTAGCACTTCAATGATGGCATTGATCACGTATAAAGTAGACATTCTAAAATGTAACACTAATGCACTCCGAGAGTCATTCATTTCGAAAACTTCAGTGGACTGAAACCACCTTGTCGCATCTATCGTAACAATTGTTCCTGACTACTTAATTACAACTGCCATAAATGATCTATACTGCTCAGACTGAGCTGCAAAGTGTACTACTGCCACTAACCCCCCTCCCCACTGTAATGCCGATGGCCTCGAGGGAATTTTAAATAAATAAATAAGTAGTGTAAGGAAGAATATCAGCCCTCGATTGATTTGAAGCCATACTGAGGCAGATGGGTCAGGTACGTTGCAGGCACAAAAAGTCTTGAGTCATGAGATGTGTCAATAGAAGGAAGCGAATTACAAAACTGAGATCAAAATTTTAGGGTGGCAGTAAGGAGGCAAATCACAACGGGTGCATCTGGTCTATGCTCACGATTAGCATATTCCTCCATATACCAGTAAATTTTAATAAACTTTTGGCTGCAAGGGAAAAAGAAGATATCTTGTCGGATGCAGAGAAGGTTGCCACTAACGTGCAGTTCCTATCCTACCACCGTCCGGAGTGGAAAGTAGGGGGGGCGGGGGTAAGCCAGTTAGCAGTTTGCCAACACTTCCGTCTCCCTCTTCTCCCCTCTATCCGGCGCAACGGGTGCATCTGGTCTATGCTCACGATTAGCATATTCCACCATATACCAGTAAATTTGAATAAACTTTTAGCTGCAAGAGAAAAAAAAATATCTTGTCGGATGCAGAGAAGGTTGCCACTAATGTGCAGTTCCTATCCTACCACCGTCCGGAGTGGGAAGTAGGGGGGGCGGGGGTAAGCCAATTAGCAGTTTGCTAACACTTCCGTCTCCCTCTTCTCCCCTCTGTCCGGCGCATGTCGTAGCCGGCACTATCGAGTGGCCTTACTGTGGCGCGACCAAGGCTGTGCTGGGCTCACCCGCAGAATCGCCTTTTGTCTTCCCCTATGAAGCCAACTTAAAAAAAAAAAGAAAAAAAGCCAGATTGCTTTTTTGTGCCAACAGTGTTGCACTCCACACAGTCACAGCGCAACTATACAACTTTCTCGCAAGCACAAATAATCTTACCATATGCAGAGCGAGTTTATCTGCTCCTTGTGTGCCTCATGCATTCGTTTACCCCAAATGAGTCCGTGTGCTTTTGTTTCCCACCACAATTCCAACCAATTACGGTGTGCTTGGCTGCCTTGTCATCGTGTTCTCTCTGCACGTTCTCTACGCTGCCCTTTGACCAGCTTGCCCCTCCTTGCGTTCCTATACCCCAAAGACGCATTTTGGAACACTCGCCAGAAGCACGCTCGCCGACGAGGGTAGAATGGCAGGGAGGAGCCTCAGTTGTCCCGCCTTCAGCGAGAGCTTGCTTTTTTCCTTCGACAACGCTTCAATGTCTTGTGCACCTCAAGTGCGTGCATGCAGTCACAGCACAGCAGATGGCACGAAGCACATGCTGGAAGCCGGGCATTTGAAAGACGCATTCTGTTGTTCTCGCTCCGTCAGCGACCATGGCTTTTGCCATGAAGTGAAACAGTTCTATGCAAAGTGCAAATTCATCTGCTTCTTTTGCGGGGGTTGTGGCGACGCTGGAACGCCGAGCTCAGATTGGCTCTGGTTGAAGGACAGTGGGTAGACCTTGAAGCAAGCTGCTTCGAGGTCTACCCACTATCTTTCAATCAGTACCAATCAGTTTGGCGTTCCGACGTCACCACAACCCCTGCAAAAGAAGCAGACGAACTTGCACTCTGCATAGACAGCATATACAATGTTGAGGACCAATATACAACCTCGCAGTTCTGCAGCGAAGACAATCCTCTTGGCATTCTCATATACCTTGAACTACTTTGAAAGCAGCATAGCTTCTGCAAAAAAACAAAAAAACTTGTAACGGAAAAAATAAAGAATACAGAGACAAAAGCAAGAGCATGGGACAAGCTGTCAAACTATCTTTATTAATTAAATACGTGATACAGGCCGCAAACACACGTAGTACAAGGATTTGGCTGGTTGAAGAGATATAATTTTTTTTTTCTTTTCAGGCAAAGTTTTTATATTACCTCCCTTCCCTCCCGACTGACAAAAGATCTTCTCCACCCAACCCCTTCTGGGAAACTGACAAGGCCAAAAAGGACGAGCCCGACGCAAAAACGGGAATGTTAATTGGCATTTGCCGAGTCCCTTCGTGCCACGTTGGCGGCATCTTTGCCTTGTGACACCTGCCCCAGAGGCGAAAGTACAATCCCTGGAATGCGTCTCCAACTGGCGTGTTAAAGGGATGCTGAACCGAAACTTGGATTTCGCATAATAACGCCACAGAAGCGTCGAACGGGATGTTACGAACTCCAAAACATCACCCATACATCGACATCTGAAACTGATGGCCATATTTCTGGAATAAAAAAGGCGCGATTAAGTGAGAACCGTGACATCACAATCCTCCTGCAACAGTTGAGAAGGAGGGGAAGCGGCCTAGCTTCGGTTCACCAGCTCGAGTGGACGAAACGAGGAGGAGGGGGAACGAGAATTGCGACGTCACATGTCCCGTTGACCTTGTTGGCCAAGTTCAATTGCGCGCTTCTTTTCCAAAAATACGGCCATCCGTTAGAGATATTGCTGTACTAGTGATGTTCTTTTGGGTCTTGCAGCATCCCGACCATCACTCCAGCCTTGTCTCGTGAGCTCCAAATTTCGGCCCAGTACTCCTTGAAGCGTCCCGTCCCGCCCTTGCACTCAAAGTGGTCCCAAGATGGATGGCGACCAATCGCGTCGTGGAAGTCGGCATGCCGTGCCGCAATCCTGACAGTCGGTCGCAGGAGTGCCTGAGAAAACGACGGGAAGACGCGAGGGTTGCCATCGTTGCGCAACGTCCTGTCTTGCGTCCAGCGAACGCCGCGTGACACTTCTCCGACATCGCCGGGCGGAAAGCGAGGGATCATGTTCCAGGCCGTGGTAAAGACACCAGTCAGAGACGCGCTCCGGGTGCCGCAGCGGTCATTAAGACGATTGTTGCGAAAACGAAAAGCACCGGCAACGTGCTACCGCACAGTCGACCAACAGCTGTGCTAGCACTTCGCTACGACACACACACGCACACACATGGTCGTTTAGTTGCCTAATATTGACGCAAATGACTACGGCTTGAGCAGAGTACTTCTCTGCAAAGGAACAGCGAAGTGGCGTGCAGCTTGCTCGAATATGAAGAGAGTTGTACCACACTCTGGCGTCGCCAAATCTCAAGGGGAAAGGAACGCATGCGCGTGGTGTGGCCGCGAATTGGGCTCGTCCTGCGACGTACAGTCGTTATGGTACGCTCGATAAAATCTGCTCCCATGTTTGCTCGGACCGCCCGCCGTGTACCAGTAAGGGGGGACCAAAGAAAAATGAATGCAACTCTAAAAAAACTGCCGAGAAAGTGCAAATCTTAAGACGCCAGAAAACTCTCAATGTCTACGTGAGACCCTGGCCCCTTTCCCAAACAAACCGAAGAAACTGATTTGGGTACGCCCAACACATATACATACATGCACAAAGAAAAAAAGACACATATTATCACAGATAAACAGAAACGGTGCTCGCCAACGCCGAAATACGCCTTAATCAATTCTCAACATCCCCAACAAAAGAAAAAAGAATGCGCTCACAAAAACAATAAAAAGCCCCACAAAAAGTGATTTTCATCTGACACGAAAAAAAAGAGGCTTTTTTTATAAACTCTGACACTCGTTAAGAAGTCCGCTTACCACGAGACAGTTAGTTGTTGTTTTCTTTAACTATTTTTTGTGAGTTTGGATTAGATTTTATCTGGGACTAGGCAAGAGGCAGGGGGGGCATTGGCTTTCGCAACGGCGCGACAACATTGCACCGCGACTACTCTTAAAACGTTTTTTAAACTCGCGCTTGCACATGAAAGAGGCACACGCATCACCCAAAATGTCAATAACAAAAAAAAAAAAAAAAAAAAAAAAAAAAACGAGGACAGAATGAATTTATAACGATGCTTTGAAACCAGCTTTTCCTTGTTTGTTCTAATACCGAAAAAAAAAAAAAAGTACACCGACACACTCAATTTTAGAAAAAAAACTTCCTATACGAACGTGCCCACACAGCATTTGTCGCAACAGAAACTATACGACCACAGACGCGCCCACTCGTTTTGAGTTCTACGACAGCAATGCGCCGTCGACTCTAACCGTCGCCTCGCCCTGGTGTCAGACATCGAAACGCACCTCACTCAACGGCGACCAAACGTCAAACGCTACATTTCCGCGTCCCCACCAACTTTGTACTGGGTAAAAGCTACAAGTGCCGAGAAAGGGGAGAAGGGCGGATCCATGACCGAAGGTCGGCATCCCAAAGTGGAGCAGAAGACGTTGTTGCGGTGACTCCCACAGTGAAAGGTCGGGTCGGGGTTCAGGGCGGGGGGTTACAGATTGCCAAGAAGAGTCGAGAAAGCCTGTACAAACGCAAAACATTGACACGTGACCCCTCGAAGCCCGACGGCGGCCTCGGCAAACTACTGGCGTCTCGACGTTCGGTCGCCTCGGGACCTTAATATACGTCGTCGGCACGAGAACTCCTCAATTGCTCCTCGTCACCGTTCATTGAATGTCAAACGAAAGGCTCCGACACCGCTCGTCGTCGTTCGAACAGCCTTTTATATTCTCTCCGCTCTTTCCTTCTTTCCTTTTGGTTTTTGTCGGCGTCGAGCGTCGTCTGCCTCGTCTTTCCTCTCTACCGAGGACGTCGGACAGAATGGGCAGACGAGAAAACTCCCATTGACCTCGCGCGAGAAAAACCAGGAAAAGAAAAGCGAGGAGGGCTAGGGAAAGAGAGTTTGTCTAGGAGTGCTGTTGCGAGGGCGAGTGCTCGACATCTCGTCTGCAAACAAATGCTTGTTGTTGTTGTTGTTGAAGAGTGTAGGTGGTCTCAGGCCCGCCTCGTCGTCAGGTTCGTCGTCGTCTGCTGTGTGGCGGTGGTGGAGGCGGCGCTCACGGATGGAGGGATGCTCCGCACTGCCTCTTCGTAGCTTGGCGGTGGTTCCTGCTGCCGACGTCGGAACAAAGACAGACGGACGTCGGGAAATGCTTTTTGGGTTCCTTTTTGCGAGCCTGTTTCATGCAGCAGATTTTGTATTCTGTACTCGAGATTAATTTTGTTCGCTAAAAGTGAATCTACAGAGATGAAAAACATAAAATTATACCATATGAAATATTTTTCCGTAATGACCCGCAGATCAACAGCATCCAAAATAAAGTAGGCACGTGCAAATAGTAAATTTTGAGTATGAAGCGAATTCAATACAAATAGTGGTCTTGGCCAAATAATTTGGAATTTATTATCAAATAGTTTCTCTAGGCCCCTCACTACTGCAACATGCTTTTAAACAAAAACCCAGCTGAACTTGACAAGGTTGTGGCCAACCTTTCACTTGACCACCTTTAAGATAAGCTAATTTTAATCTATGTTTATTGACTATGGTAGTGTATCTATTGACAATTGCTTCCAAAAGCCCAGTGCCTATATTGGAATGGCAATGACGCATTTCACATAAAATTAAATCAAAAGAGATGCTTGGCTATACCTAACCAAGGGGATTAAGAAATATTCTGGTTACATGCAATTATCTTTTCTTCAATCATGTATGATTAAGGCTGCTTGTCAAGGCACCTCTGCTTAACATATACTGATGCATTCCAGTTTAATTTTAAAAATTTACTGCCGTATAGATATCAACCTCCATGACTTTCTGTTTCTTTTTTAAATACATCAGGAGCACGTGTGCGCCATCTTGCCTTGGAAATGAGCTCTCCTCCTAAGCACGCGGCTGCGATACATGTACTTTTCGAAGTGTTCATGACGGCGGGTTAGCCCCGTTGAGGGCGCTTCTCAACGAGCACCGGTGCACTGCGGAAAAGCCACACATGTGGAGGCAAGCTCCGCGGGTGTTGCTTTCCCGTAGTGCACGGGTGCTCGGTGGGAAGCGCCCTCAACAGGGCTAATCTGCCGTCCTCAACACTTCGAAATATACGAATATTGCAGTTCATTTCAAAGCGAATATCGAATAGCATATTATTCGAAACTACTATTAGAAAATTTGAGTGTTTGCACGACACTACAATAAAAAAGTGGAAGAAGAGCAGTCCTCTCAGGATTAGCAGTACAGACACAGTGATAGCTGTGACAATCTTATCTGACCCTAATGTATCCTCTTGCATCTTGAACTCGAGTATGTTGCAACTCATGCGGAGGAAACATTGCCAGTGTCTTTCGGCAGGTGTGTAGCAATTGTTCCATTCAACCAATACGGTTCATTCGTCTGCATACTTTTCACTACAAAACTGTCGGACAGATGACGTCGCGTAACACCCCGATGTGATGTGATACAGTGACATTACGTGACACCACGACTTCATGTGACATCATGACCTCATGTGACACCATGACCTCATGTGACATTGCGTGACCACTACATCACATGACACCGTTATGTCACATGACATCATGATACATAGTAATATGCCACGCTGTCGCATGTGATACCACATGACATCACACTATCCCATGACACCCTGATGCCTTGTGACAGCGTCATGTCACACGTCGCCGTTACCTCACACGATACCGTTACGTCACCTTACACCCTAACTTCGCGACTTCGCATGACACCACAACGCCACGGATGTGGCGACACTCCGACGTCATGCGACACTGTTACGTCACGTGGCATCGTGATCCGACGCTATGTTACGACGTCGTGCGACTCTGTGACGTGACGGCGTCGCGTGACGACATCGACGACGGGCGCCCTGAATCGACGTCATTTCAAAAGCCTCCGCCGTAAAGGAGGCACCCACCTCGTCGGTCTGGTAAGGTGGCGGCTCGGGGGGTAGGTTGGCGACGGTGGCCGCCGGCGGCAGCAGGTGGTCAAAGGAGTCGCCTGTCCTCTCGCCCTGGCCACCTGAACGAGGGTCCACGGGGCGGTAAGTTGGGCTAGTAGGCGATCGGTGCACATAATAAAAAAAACTGCTCAAAAAGACAGGGCAAAGGAATGAAGAGTGTGTGTGTGTTCCACGTTTGTTTCTCCTGTCCCTTCAAGCACCGTTTTTTGTCACATACGAGGCTTCTCGTTAAGTCTCTCTCGACAACTTGCAGTTTGGGTGCACTTCGGCCCCCAAACTGCAAGTTGAGGAGCGAGTCATGGTCGTGTGCCTTGTCAAAGACCTGTCTTGATACTCTAACATCAATCTAAAAAAATTCACAGCCCTTTGCCCTGATTAAAGACGTCACAGCCATTACTCGGCACACGTTTTCCCGGCGCTGCAAGCGACGCCACCGGAGCAAGAGGCACAGGCCTTGATGAAGCGCCCCAATGCAGATGGTCCGAGAGGTGAATTCAACTTGGCAGCTGGACAACTCCGTCGCAGCTGCCGTCTCCAAAACACATTTCCGAATGCCTTTCGGATGCCGAGGGTCGAGACGATTAAAGCGAGAAAGCATTTCATGCTTTAAAACTGTTGAACACCGGTATGATTGCTTCAGGGATGAGACCGGTGGCAGGACTATGTAGGCAACCAAAGGCTCAGTCAAACAAGTCCATAGCGTTTAGGGAAGATGCCACTCTAAAAGGCAAACTTTTTAACCATTAGTCTCGCTGATATGAAATTCGCAGGACACATTCATAACTGTGAAAGAAGTCGCCATGAAAAGTTTTGAGTTTATAAATTAATCCTTCAAAGGGTTACATAAAGTACATAGAGGAAGAGTTTCGTATAGAAACAATACTGATAATGGCCCGTTTCTTTAGTGAAGCATACAATATAACAGCTGTGTCACGCAGCCGTGGAAAGAAATGAAATGACAGAAATAGTGGGATTTTATAAAAAAAAAAACAACTTTCAACCTTTCAAATCTGTTAAAGAAGACCGAGCAGCGGAACTGTACTATGTGCCGCCATTTATGAGAAACCGCGACAATCAGAAAACCGGCAAGCCGGTTGTCTGGTTGCTGCCGTCGCTCCTAGATGGCGGTAGCTGTTCAGAGGGTTGTGTCGATATTTATTTGCCCATGGACACGAAACTGGGGAAACTAGCCCTTAACAGCTCCGCTGCAAAATAAAAATGTGGATTTTCTTTTTGGTACGTATTAGGTTAGAGAAACTGAAACTTTCCATAACAAGAAAGAGCACAAAAATGCAGAAAGCAAGTTCACAGCTGAATTCCTTACAATATTTCAGTATTGAAACTCCAAAAAACTGGCTCCCCACAGCATTTTATTATGAAATGCCTTTTTTTCCTAATCCGCCGAGACTTGGTGCCAGAAAGTGAAGCTAAGATAAATGTGATTAGTAGCTCCAAAGGTTCCACCTGAGATGGTGCTGGCATGTCGAAAATAATTTGTTCTGGAAAAAATGCTTTATTCACAGGAATTGAACTTTCCAACAGCGTTCGCTCCGAGTTCTGCAAGCCAGAAAGTCTACTTGTGAAAAATGTCACTTCGAAAAAATACACAAGCTTGATCGTGCTGAGAAAGACAAGGGAACACTAAATGTGTCCTGTACAAACCACATAGCATGTGTGGTTTGTGCTTGTTTTTAAAAAAATTTTTTTATTGTGCACTACAGATGTTAGCCACAGTGAGGACAAACAAATGAGCGTGCTGCACAGGCCCTGCCTCATATGACGCTTGCGCGATGTGGACACCAATGAGGTCGGCGGTCACGTGGTATGTTGTCGCGCCGCTCTTGCTGGAACACTTTGCCGGTGGCGTAATCTTTCCAGAGCAACCGCGCTACACAACCCGGTGACTATAGCATCTGACTTTCACCGCATCGACCCGGGTTCGAGCCCCGCTACAACATCTTTCTTACACTGATTTTACAGGGGCCTTCTTAAGGGGAGACACTGCTCTTTGAGGCAAAAATATGCTAAGAAAACACATTTTTGAAATTGTGTTTCTGAAGATTGGCAGGCACGTATCATTTTGTCCAGAAGAATTTTCTTTAAATAAATCTCTCTCATCTTGAAATATCCTCTTGGAAACAAAGTAAAATGAGTCTGAGGATGTTTTTTTTATATTATTTCTGAGTGAACTATTTACACCCTTTACTATTTTCCGCTCGCACATGTCTAATCTCCATATTTTTTTTTTTTTCTTTGGTAGGTGAATGTGTGACATGTGCAATAAGGGGTACAAATATACTAAATAGGGTATCAGGCTTTTTTTTAGGTGCCTTTTAGGCATCCTGCAACAAATCATTTTGAAACTGAAAAGTTCAAAAATGTCCTCAAAAGCTTATAAAGCATCCTAGAGCTTTCATTTATACCTCATTGGATTCCACATACCTTTTAGTTCACTGATATATGCTTATTTTTTTTATTTTAGTAATTCAATTTGTCTTAATCCTTTCTATAATCTTTGCAAATGTAATTTTCAATATTAACAAAACTAACTACCGTAAAATTCCGGGCAAGCGCCCACTCAAACTTTGGAGATAATCGCAAAAAAATGGTGGATGAGCGCTTGTCCGGTCATCAATTTTACATGCATATTTTCTCAGATCTTCCAAATTTGGTAATGGGCGCTTAATGTGGAATGGGCGGATGCACGGTATTCTACGGAAGGTTACATCAAAACCAAGTATATACTTGTAGTCAGTTTGTAATGGGAAATAAGCTATGTAAATTTCATTTGAATTGAATCAAAATTTATATAAAAAAGCTCTAGAAGCAGTGTTGCCCCTTAAGCTTCGCATAAAAGTATTGTAACGCCCCCAGCATGTCACTTGACCATGACGCTCAACCATGTTGATCACTCATGACGGTTATCTGCGATGCTTGTTGATGATGTTTGTTCGCGAAGCTTGTTCACGACGCTCATTCGTAACATTATTCTCATAAGAAATGACTCACAAAACACATTCCGCATTAAAAAGACGGCGATTTCGAGGTAGCGTTCCCCCCCCAAGATGAGAGACAAGGTGCCACTCACGTTGCGCCACTTCCCGCAGCGACACGCCTCGTCGGAAGGGCAGGATGTAGCGGTGCGGCCGTCCGCCAAACGTCCTGCCGTCGTGGACGCCAGGGCCGGCCTCGGGCTTTTGCCGGCGTTTCCTGCGTGCGCGAAGAGAACGCCGCTCGCTTTGTCCGAATCGCTGGCAGACGAGCAAAGGAAAGAAACCGGCAAGCCGACCAAAATGTGTCTCTGCTCAAAAAGCAAAGCTATTCCCCAAAGGCTCTCTTCGCCACAAAGCAAAGAACATCTTTCAGGTGGTCTTTGCCACCTACCTAGCAAAGAACAGCATGTACCTCAAGGGGTATGTCATTCTTGTTGACTACTAGTGACAAGACAGCAAAAAATGGCATATATTTTAAAATTGACCTGGTTAAAGCGAGCGTATCGTAATGAGGAATACTGGAAACGACTAAATTTTTGCGAAGACATAATTTTTGTTTATTTTGAGAATTGCCTATGATTCGTGAAAAATAGGTTCCGCGAATATGTTTCGCAACGATAGCAAATACATAGCATATCACCCCAAATCACTAAATTTTGAGCCCGCGAAATGTTTCTAAATACCACACCTCGCCCAATTCGCAAAACAGTGAGCCCGCGAAAATAAAATTGTTTACAGTACTTGGAATAGAAGGAATGAAAGCGAAGAGGATGTTCACAGACAACCAGACACTTTCAGTTAGCAACAACGAATGTCTATTTTCGGGCACAAAAAAATGTGCGTGTCTACCAGGATATATTGTTATATCCCTAGAGATGGCCCACCTAATAGCGAGAGCAAATTGGGGGAAAACAAGGAACGATCTAACTTCGGACCCCCAAATAAAAAAATTAGAAAATGCTACTTTTTTTTTTTGTGACCTGCCAAGCTTGTTTTCACATTGAGGGGCAATGGAGCATAGAAAGCTGTCCTTCCCAGTTAGCGGCGTTCGCTTACTTCCATCTCCCGCCATGGCTCAGTAACACCAATTCTGCCGAGGTTGCCATTGGCCAGAGCCCTGCAGCTACTAGAGGCGGGTTATCTTTCGGTGCTTTTGGAAGAATAGCAAGTTGTGCCAAAAGATAGGAGTGGGCTTATCTTTCGGGGGTGGGGCATCTCTCATAATATTACGCTAGATAAAAAAAAATGGGGGAGGACAGGTGGGAAGGGGTCACGATCAGGAGGGCAGCTATGGACTGGGGCACGGCAGCCCAGTTCATATTTGTCCTCTCGATTTAGCGGGTTCCACCCTGACTCACATATATCCCAGGATGATGCAGGCTATCAAGATGGCCGCCGGCGAGATCCTGAACACGGAGACCACGCCGCCGTGGACGGGGCGCTGCAGTCCCGACGAATCTGCGAGGGAAAGAGTGCGTGACGGCGCCACGCTTTGAAGACAAACCTTCCGAAGACGATAGACGCTTGAAAGTGGACTTAAAACCCGACTGTCCGCTTTTACGTATGCCGTTTTGGTAGCGGTGACGGCGCAGGAATTCATTCAGTCATTCATTCATTTATTGTACCCTTAAGGGCCCTTCTTCAAGGGCATTACATAAGGGGGGGGGGGGGGTCATACATGAAAAAATACAAAAACAAAGCACCAGGTGTTGCAGCTAACAATGCTGCAGTTGCATAAGATGTGAAAAAATACAATGATTGATTCTTAGTAAAAACGTGAAATTATAGCATCACGAAACAAGGTGGGGTCATCAATGGCCACTATATCAGGTGGCAGGTCGTTCCAGTCTATGATGGTCTGTGGGAAGAAAGATTGGTTAAAATAATTAGTGCGACCAGTGATCCGCGACACATGGCGTGAGTTGTTTAGCCGTGATGATGATCTGCTAGGAGGAAGAAGCAGTGAGGAATGTAGTATTGGTTGAAAATGGTAAACCTTATGAAACAAACTTAAGCGTGTTATTTTACGTCGTACGTTGAGAGTTTGGATATCGAGCTGAAGTTTGAGAGATGAAACACTAGTCGTTAAGAAATAGTCGTTTAGGATAAATCTAACAGCATGATTTTGGATGAACTCAAGATGGCTGATGAGATAGGCTTGGTGTGGGCTCCAAATGGCTGATGCGTATTCCAATTTCGGTCGCACATATGTTTCGTAGGCCAATTTTCGTAAGTGAGAGGGCACTTCTTTCAAATTTCGTTTGATGTACCCCAGAGTCCGGGAAGCTTCTGCCACAATAGTTTCGATGTGGTTATTCCATATTAGATCACTTGTCAGCGTTACACCGAGGTATTTATAATAAGATGTAGAGTCAACTAGGTCGGAGTCAATAAAATATGAAAAGTTGCTTGTTGTTTTTTTCCGAGTAAAGCGAACCAGATTGCATTTTGACATATTCAATGACATAAGCCATTTGGAGCACCAACCATAAATTAAACTTAAATCACTTTGAAGCTGAAGATGGTTATTGTGAGAATTAATTTTGCGATACAGAACACAGTCATTCGCAAAGAGACGGATGCTAGACGTGATTGAGTTAGGTAAATCGTTAATAAATATTAGAAACAGTAAAGGTCCAAGCACGGATCCCTGAGGAACCCCAGAAGTGATGCGACTGCAGTTTGATTTATGGTTGTTAGCAACAGTGAACTCGGTACGAGAAAAAAGAAAGTCACGTATCCGGGAGGCAACAAGAGGGTCAATGCCAAGACAAGAAAGTTTATCGATTAGGCGATGATGAGGAACCCTGCCGAATGCCTTCGAGAAATCAAGGAACAAGGCATCTGTTTGGCTTAGTGAGTCAGTATTAGTGAAAAGTTTGTGAGTGAACTCTACAAGTTGCGTTTCGCACGAGAAGCCCCTCCGAAAACCATGCTGGCGATTGTAAAAAAAGTTATTTTCTTCTAGGTGGGAAATAATGTGAGAAAATATTACATGCTCAAGAAGTTTAGACGCAATGCAGGTTAATGAAATGGGACGGTAGTTCGAGGGCAGCTTACGATCGCCGCTTATTCATAGGCACCGACATCAACAGAAAGGCGGCGAAGGTATAGTGTATGAAATGGCTTTTCTACAGGTATGGTCTGACGTCCCGAACTGCCCGGACATCATAAGTGATCTTAAGGTGGCTATAAATTAGGTCACGGGAGCCAACACGTGACGCGGTCGAATGTCGCGGTCCCGGCGGTTAATTGTAGAAGTTCCGGCCAAAACAAAAAAAAGTGCACAACGATCACACAACATGATCCGTTTGGACAGCAGCAGCTGCACTGCTTGTTCGGCGACATGACAATCTCGATCGATTGACACTGCGCCGATTGTGCGTCATACGGTGATCTGATGTTGAAATGGCACTGCATCGATTAAGTGTCGATATGATGTCGACAAATAAATGATTTTAAGGTTGTGATGCGTTTTCCTGCAAAATTTAGAGGAGGAATTGAATTCGTTCGTAGGTCCTGTGACATCAATTTGTCCTGCTAAATTTAGCGGGGAACCTGAATTCGTCCGTAGGTCCTGTGACGCCAAGTCACGCGACATCAATTTTCCCGCCAAATTTCGTGGGGAAACTTTTCGTTTACGCTCACACCGTCGCGTAACCAGGGGGGGGGGGCACGAACAGCTGCCACCGTAAAAAGAAACAACGAGCGAATGCAACTGTCACGTCGTCATCGCAGCGTCCCGGCTCCTGGCTGCCGAAGCTTCTGCAGACCTGTGGCAAAACACGCGCGTGCCACGGAGTCTGCCGCCGTTCCACCGGCGGGATTGTGGAGGGCGAAGGCGCAACACTTTTACGACATCGCTGGGCGGAAATCGAGGGACCACTTTCGACGGTGCGGTAAGCGCACCGGTCAGAGACACAACCGGAGACACAGGAGCATACGCACCTGCGCACCGCCAGCCCCACGCGGTGAGTTCCGTGTGGTACCCCTGGCGACAGCGGCAGAACCGGCCGTCGCACACCAGGTGCCGGTCCCGGATGAAGCAGTCGTAGTTGGTGTAGCACAGCAGCAGCGGAGGATTGCCTGGTGCCACCCGGGGCGAGAAGTACGCCAATCAACAAGCAAGTTTTTGGAAGCTGTGACACGGAATGTATGCATGCCAGTTGTATGTTTGTGCTGCACAGAACTAGATAATTTGAGATGGCACCATCTTCGACAATGATTACAAACGGGCGGTGGCTTTTTGTGGACGACAGCATAACAAATAGCAATTTTCCCATTGGGCATTTGCTAACAGCAAACTGCAAGCTCCCGAGAGATTATAAGAGCAAGATTAAAAGTAACGAAAACATTATCGATGTCAAACTCGGAAAACAATGCCTTCTGTTCGAGCGAGTCGATTATGTTTCTTTCCACTTCATCTAACTACACTGTCTTTCCGTCCGCACACATATGACCTTTTCCAAAGGACTACCAAGGGTGCTTTCCTGCGAGCTCACCCGGAACGCAGGTGGTGTTTCCTCCGATGGACTCCTGGTAGTAGCCGTCGCGGCACCGGCAGGTCGAGCCCCGGCAGTATGACGCGTTGCTGCCGGCCTCGCATTGGCTGTCCGACCGGCACGCCTCTCCTAGCTTCCGGCCTGCACCAATCACAAAAGAGCACCCCTGAGCACAAGAGGCAGGACCCGGCTTGACAGCAGGACAGGAACACGATAGTGATTGAGGATTTTACGGCACAAAATGCTTCATAAAGTGCACCAAACTCACGGCGCGAGGGTGCTGCCAAACTAAGAGATTTTCCCCTAGGTCTAGGCAGAGCCGTATATGTAGAGAGTTTGGCCATTCGTTGGGAAGTATAGGAGACAAATGAGAAGGCGCCATTGGCTGAAAGCGGGTTGGGCGTGTTCCAGAAGTCTTCAGAAATTCGAATGTGACCAACCAGAAGCCGGAAATATACCCTGGCGGTGGTCGCGAGAAACAAACCTGATAACTGCATTAGAGTAACTCTCGATGACTGAAAATATGGTACACGTGATGTTTCAATCACGCTCATCCAAAATGATGGTGGAGGAGTGCGACTAGCGGAACGATCGACATAATCCGTACCCCAAGCGCCGAAGGCCGGGAATCTGCCGTCCGAGCGGTCACACTCTGTCCGAGCAAAACAGAGTTGAGCGGCGCATTCGTTTCTTACATCTTTCTGCATGATCATGATCAAAACCACACGGGCACTCTATTTTCAACCACGAAGAGTTATTACACTTCACTCTTACGCGTTTATTAAAACAATTTACGAACATAGACCTTTTTCTCGCTACCACCGCTACAGGATTCTTTTCGGCTTCTGGTTGGTCAAGAGAGCATGCCAAGTCCTCTTTCCGAGTCTGGTGCACGCCCTGGCTCTGCCCGCGCCTCCCATTGACCAAACTCTCTACATATACGGCTCTGGGTCTAGGGATCCCAAGATCTAAGAATTTTGATCAGTCGGGGGAACAGGGAAATTTGTCAAGTCTAGAATTTTTTTTTTTTTTTTTTGAGGACAGTGTTAATTTGTTTGTTGTAAAATTTGTGCAAAATGCAAATCAATTTATTTGTGATATACCACAAAAGATAGTTTTCTAAGGTGTTGATACTTATACAGAAAGTTTAAAGGAATGATTGGAGTTCCGACGGCGGCATGCTGGGGTACACATGCTTCCTGTCTATGCGATTAACGTAATGCGCCTGCACAGCGCGCTTCTTGGGAGCCGTTTGGCCGCCCCGCCGGTGTCTCGCAGTTACCGCCGTTTCCCGCGTCACAACCGCCATCGTCGTCTCACCGTTCGTGATTATTGTCTTTGGAGTTTCATCGACACTACGGACACTACGTGCGCAGACTTATGCCGCAATTGTGCAGACGTCGTCGTATCTCGTAGACACCAAAACGTGACGAAGAGTGCAGTGCAGACGACACTTGCGACTGGCACATGCCTGCCCCAATCCCGCCCGTCGTTGCGTAGAGGATCATGTGACATCTCGTTTTACATATTTTTGGCAACCGAGGCCAATGTTGCCGAACGGAGCCGAAGTTTCTGTTTTGATTTCCGCTCGTGTTTAAAATTCATTTAAAAATATATATCCCATTTTTTGCCAAGCAAACGACGTAGTGTGTTTAACTAGGGCTTTTTAATGCGAAATCCCTCATTATCCCGAAATCTTCAGTACTGAGCAGAGTTGCCGTTTAGGTTTTTTTCAGTGAATCTTCGAAAAAGGGATGGTTCCAATCGACTGGAAGGTGGCAAACATTACACCTGTTTTTAAATCCGGATCTAAAGCGAATGTTAAAAATCATAGCCCTATTTCATTAACATCCCTCTAATGCAACCTTTGTATAACCTTTGCTCTTTCTTGGATCTGAGACATTTCCTTTCCCCTTCATAGCACAGACTTCGTAGTGGGTATTCTTGCAATACACAGCTAGTAGAATTTTATCATCAGATGGCAGTGACTGTTTCAACGTCCACTTTCAAAATAATTTTGAATTATTATTTGACGTTAGTGACGCCACTTCCTGAAGACATAAAATTATTTTCAAAAACATTTTGGCGTTTTGACGTCCCTTGTCAAAATCTTTTCGTCATTATTTTGACGTCTCAGATTTAGAACTTTGGAGTTTCGGAGTCCCAACTGGGGAGCGATTGAAGGTGGCGGTAAAAAAAATACATATCAACTTGTTTGCAGTTGATATGTATTTTTTGTGTGCCGTGGTTCGACACACATTTTCTGAAGACAAATGTCATGCAGTCGACTGCTGTTTTTATGACCTTTTAAGTGATGTGGAATGCAAAAAGACCTTCTCAAAGTACATCAGCTAACAGGCTGAAAGCAACATGTTGTTGGTTGTGCCAGACATTACAAAATGCAGCACCGCTGCTTTTCTTTGTTTCTTTCTTACGATTTATACAGAAAAAGGAGCTGAATGCCGTGCCATAAAATTTGCGGTTGATTGGAAAATGTGTGTATCTCATACAACCGTGCCAGAACCTTTGTTTGTTTGCACTGGTCAAAAAATATCAAAGGGGAAATGTTTGCATTCCTAACCCTTTTTTTTTAAAGTCCCGATCGCTTCGTAGTTAACCCACTCATTATACACGAACCAAGCAAAAAATTTAAGCTGGGTTAAAAACAGGGTGGGAGCCAGATGTAAAGCGAGACTGCAACCATACAAAGACGCGCTTGCACAATATAAAGGCACAAAAAGCGTGCCAAATTTCTCAGTGTCAAGTAGTGTGCGCACTTATATTTGTTACGTGCAGAAAAGGCAGAGGGATATCCAGCTCGCCTTTGTTGCAAATTCAAGATTATAAATGAGACGCATGCCAAGATGCGAGCTCAGAACGCTCAGAACATTGCCACCGTGCGTGTGATGTCCGAAAGGATTAACTGTCGAGCCAGTCCCACACACACACACTGAATAAAACCTTTCCACTGGCAACTGGGACCGAAATTATCCGTTAAAACGTCAACACGACACCGACGACACTATCAGAAACTAAACAGTAAGAAACCACAAAACGGCTACCACTGCTACGGCTGCTGCATTGAAGAAGGACGTCGAAATGATAAAGAAACTATTTTGATGTTTTACGCAAGTGATGTCACAGACTTTGAAATAATTTTTCAGATATTTTGACGGTGAACGTTGAAATAGTCACTGCCCTGATCATTAAATAACTGGAAATACGTTGACTGTGTGTTCTCTTTAATTTTCGCAAAACTTTCTACACAGTTTCACATCAGCTATCAATGCACGAATCAAATTGGCCATGCTAAACATAGATCGTAACATTCTGAACTGCACAGAAAATTATTTAGAAGGTTGAGAACAGCATGTTGTTCTAAACGGCAGTACCATTCAGACCAACTCTGGTTACTTCGGGAATGCCACAAGGAAGTGTCTTAGGACTTTTACCTTTTCTTAAGTACATAAATGATATCACCGAAAATGTACAGTCTCATATTAAACTATTTGCCGATGACTGTGTATTGCAGAGAGAGATAAACTCACCAGACGAACTCGCCACATTGCAAACCGACGCATTTTATCTACTTGGTGTAGCCAGCGGAAAATGAGCTTAAATCTGAATAAATGTAACCATATACTATATTTCTCAAGAAGTCAACCACACAACTTCCAAAGCCACCTAATCAACAGAACCGTCCTAAATACTGTATCTGAGTATGTTTATTTAGGAGTGCAGTTTACAGACTCCCTACAATGGAATAAAGAGCGGACAATAGGAAAAGCTAGTAGAATGTTTTATTTTATCCATTAAAACTTTAGATCCAAATCACGCAACATTAAAGAAACACTCTACTTTTCTTTAGCAAGAATGATCCTAGATTACTCGTGAGTCGTGTGTGTACACAAACTCGAGAAAATTTAGAATCAGGCAGCACACTCAGTACTTAACAAATATGACCCTTATGCCAGTGTTACAGAAATAAAAGCTGTGCTGGGATGGGAAATGCTTGAATGTAGAAGAAAAAAACTAAGATTAAAATTCTTCCATCTTGTATTTCATAACACGATGGGGATTGACAAAGCCGCCCATTCTTTTCAGCCATCTACGTCTCCTTCCGTTGCTATCATTTTAAAAAGGTTGCTGTACCCAGTTATAAAAGCAACAGGTTTGCCAATTCATTCTTTGTTAAAATTGCAATTGAGTGGAAAGACCTTCCGGAAGAGACTGTGTCAATTGATGATAATGACCTATTCTTTCTTCATTTATCAGTGTATTCTAAAAAACAAAAGCCTACAACAATGACACAGTGCAATGTAGGCATTTTGCAACTAAATAAATAATAAACACATATTTGTGTGTTTGACACTGAGAGCAAATGTAAACATTGGCAATCTATTTTTCCCCGCATTTTATTTAGGAGCTTTAGCAGAAAAGCTTTGTATACTTTTTTGTACAAACTATTTTTGCTTTGCATATTAAAATGTCCCTTAAAATAAGATTTTGTCTTTAACCATTGCGACTTAATTATTTCAGTATTTTGTGCAATAAACAATAAATTTGAAAGCTTTCTAATTTTATTATTTGAAGACCCCAACAAAACAATTAAAGATTTTAAATGGTCACTCAGCTGCCGACATCTATTTTCAAGCTAAAACATAACAATGATCTTAATATTTGCCTTAATGTGTGAACAAAGGCATTTTCCAAAAATCTAGGGAAATAAAGAAAATTTTTGGATAAAATTTGGGGAAGAAGTGGCCTCGGAGGTTGGCAGCACTGCGGCAAGAACGTGCTCACAAGACAATGACGGAGATGATGGGCCCCCAGAATACCACACAGTGGCAAATATGCACGCGAAATAAGATGGTGACTAGCGGTGATCTACGGAATGTTCTGAAGTGCCGCAATCAACTTTTAGTGTGACCCAAGACTTTAGTTTCGACCGAACTGAAACTTCCGTTTCCATCAAATAGGCATTCCCATTCCATCTTAACTTGAACCGAACATGTCATCCAACAGAGAGTTCCATGCAGGAAGGAGGAGGATACAAATTTGAAGACAAAGACTCGCTAGAAAGCATGAGGGCAAACTAGAAGGGGCTGCGTGAATGTGCCGTCTGCATTCGGGGTTAGCAGAGTGTGTGGGTTAAAGTCACCTCGAAAATAGCAAGCAGACCCGCTAGCTTCTCTACTTAGCACACCTGAAACACAGTGCAAACGAGTAACAAGGCTTCGTCACGCAGAACACATCTGCCTTGTGCCACGTCGTCCTAGACCTTGTGTCCGAACAAAAAGCTAACAAATAAACAGTCCAAGGTTTTGCTCCCGATCGCTTTCAGGGCAGATGAAGTACACAAAGCTTGCACAAGTGACTACCTCAGCATTGCTAAGCAAGGAAACATAGCCGAATAATCGACGTCCGTCCCGGCAGTAGAAGGGGGTGACAAGGTATACAAACAGATTGTACCGACTGAGTTTCGAGCCGCGACCATGGCAGACAACATCACGTTGACGACGACAACACCAGACAAGAAGCGAGAGAAATGGGGGACGGGGGAAGGGGCCTCCCTCACCAGTCTTGCAGATGCCTCCGTGCTCGTAGAAGTTCTTGCGGCAGACGCAGACGCGCCGGCTGCCGCACCGGGTGCGGTTGCTGTTGATGCACGACTCGTCCGACAGGCAACGCTCGCCCACCGGGACACCCACTGTACACGATGGTGCGAACGACACCCTCTCACGCATTGAGACACTTCCAAGCGAACATCTGCCGCAATCTTGTGCCACAACGCGTCTCTTTTTCCGCAGGCACACTTTGCGAATTGGCATCCACCACAACACCATTCTTTCAGGTTCCCCAACTTTCCCAGACATCTCGCCGAACTACAGTGAACTCTTTCTGGTTCCTAGCTCTACTTCGCCCTCTGTCGCGCCTACCATTGGGTCCTTGAGTGCTTCACCTTTCAATCACAAGAATTGACGTCTAAGCTTCCATAGGCCTGGCATAATTCCAGCTCTAACTTCAGCCACGCACTATTCATCAGAACTGGAAAGTGCGAGGGCATTTTTACTACAGGCTTTCTCGGAGAAAGCGCTTGAGTATGTGCTAACATCATCGCTTTACCCTTTGAGAGAGAATATGAAAACGAAAGTGGGACACATTCTACGTAATTACCGACACGCTCAGCCTTCCAAAGAAAAGCTACGAGACCAATGTGTCGGGACTTGTCCGTATGATGTCAAAGAGAATAAACGTGATTTACATTCAGCTGGATTGACAACTTGAACTTTTTCAATAGTATGTTGTTGGAGGTCTGCGAATGACCTCTAAGGTAATTGAAGGTACATACATTAGACATGTCTATGGGACTGTCCACTAACAAGCACCGCCGAAATCAAAAGGTGGACAAGGGACACGGCGTCTTGGGAAAAATTACAAATCCTTAAAGACAATTTATGCAAACAAACAGCAAAGCATCCAGGAGGATCAGACAGCAGAGTTGCACTTGAGGTACAAAGAAGAAAATTGCAAATTCTGTCCGAAGTTTCAGTCGTAGTGCTTGAATCATCCTAGATGACAGCCTAAAGGTACACCTGGTTTGCAATGTGCCGTGACTCAAAAGTGCTCATAATATAACACACCAGGGCCTTATAAAGTAATGACCCGGTGATTCCCATATTGCTGGCTGGCCAGGTTGCCTGCCATCTGGACCCACCAACCACACTCATGCCACGTGGTGGCCAAGAGCGCCAGGCCACGTGCACCTCGTGCACGTCGCCTCGATAAACCGGAGCAGTGGCGGAGCGCGGACAATCGGCAGGCCGCTGCCAAGCCACGAGGTCCTTTTGTTTGTTGTCTCGTCCACGCCCTTCTAAACATAGTTTCATATTATTAAAACCCAAGGCTCCGTCATTCTTCGGGGTCAGCTACGCAGCGAGGCAAGCCGACTACGACGGATCCGACCCAACGCGCAGACAAAAAGTGACCCTAGAAACATTCAGTCTGCCCCAAGGACGCGGGAGCAGAGGCCGGCGCGTACCATAGCTGCAGGTGAGGCTGGAGTTGACTAGCTCCTCATAGTATCCTGGCAGGCAGGTGCAGGTGCGGTTCCGGCAGACGAAGTGCCCGTCTCTCCGGCAGTTGTCGTCTGTGTCGCATGGGCCTCCCGTGCCTCCTGCTCGAGACGGAAAGGGCACCGCGGGGGAACACGGGGGGGATTTTAGAGACACGCACCCAGGACGGATGACAAACGCTAGACGTGTCCAGAAAAGCACAAACCTTAGGTGAGAATTCAATTCTCAAAGTTTCTTTTCTAGGTTATCACTAACAAGTTCAGCATGTTCAGCATACTCGCCGTTTTCCGGATTGATTGGAAGTAGTGATACTTGGCGCTCGTCTCTAGGAAAAGTCCTATCCCTCGCAATATTTTTCTACCATGTCTAGTAGAAACTGGTTCCTTTTGCATAGTTACTGCCAAGTATGAAAATGGCAGGAAGTCTCTTTTAAAAGCCTTCAGCACGTGCTCGTTGCCTTTCGTTGCGTTTTGGGTGCGTGCAAAAGCTCACGAGATGTCGAGAAGCATTATTAAAAATAGAAAGCTCGTGTTAAAGTCGGAAAAACTAAAAAACCCGCTCCCCACCCCATTGTTCTTTTCACGTTAGGACTAGGAGCGTATTGAATTCGCCTGAGTCTAACTCTTGCTTTTGGAAAAGTGAAAGGACTTTTCCCCGGAGTGGAGATTTTTGAGTGTTAAAAAATGGGAGGCAGTGACTTCTGGATGGCTCGAAGCACAGGAAGTCGAATTCGATTCCCAAGAAGTTGAAGTTATGCAATCAAAGTAGAAGGGGAGCGCTGAGCTCAAAGCTGGCTAAGTCGCAAACCAAGATGTCACTTACTACTTGACCGATAACAAAGCGACACTAAAGCAATGCATCTGCCGGGAGTACGTCTTAAAGAAAGGCAACATCAGACTCACGAGCCATTAATCGGCAAAGTGAGAGCTATAGGCCTGTGTTGATGAGAACAATTTCTATTTCTAGAATGTTTTCCAGCCGCACCCCGGATAATTTTATCACGCAGGATAGAAAATTGCTCGGGAAGTTTCGTGTGGGCAACATGTTTGCGAAATGATTATCTGAATTCCGGGCTCCAAAGGAACACCAACACGTGCATATGGACACTAAGGCCACCACTAGGGGTGGGACAGACCAAAGTGGTTTTGGAGCAATTTTGGGAGCAGAAAAATTCACATTCTGGAGCAGATTAGAAGCAGAAAGTTTCCCAGTTTGGAGCAACTTAGGGGCAGAAAATATGGGTTTTGGAGCACAGAGGATAAAGAAAATCTCTCTTCTGGAGCATCTTACGAGTAATTGGCCTTATTTTAAGAAAGCATCTTAGTCAGTTGTAAGATGAGTTACAATTCAAGCAAACTAGGTTTCTACTACAAGTGTTGAAAAGTATTAAATATAACTTTACTGTGAAATATCTACAACTGCACACAGAAAGATATTTTATTTTAGGAAGAAATTTGAATTAAAATGAAAGGGCACGACTCGGTAACATAAATGCTACATGCAACGTTGCATCATGGATACATTGTAGAATGTACAATGTAAGATGCAACGGTACGATGGCTAGGATGTATGGCTCTATCGGGATATATACATCAAATCCATAGGATGGATGGATGAATGGACAGATACAGCTGAGCCAAGGAATTTGGCGGCGGCTTGCGTCACTTGGCAACGAAATAGCCAAGGTTGTTAACTGGGCTTTCCCATTCCGCTAAATCTAGCACCAGCATGATTTTTGGCAAGGCGTGGCTCAATTTTGGTTGATTTCACGCTTTTGGCACTGCTGGGCGCAGAAAATCATGAATGTATTGAAATGGCACTATCGGCACAGCTGTGCCACACCCACACTACCGTACAAAGATTTATACATAATTATTTACGCACATGCTGTTGGCCGAGAACCGATGAACCAACTGCAAAATCTGTTAAGTGAGTAGCCCCTGTTAGATACAAATAAGATAGGGGATCTGTTTGTACATACCCCACCCTAAGTGTTCACACCAACTTTAGAACTTACCAGCTGCGACAATAACTTTCCCCGGTCACCTCACATGTCGCAGATCTGGCATCTGATGCAAATCAAGGACTGGGAAAACTGAATGATTCTACAGCAAAGGCTGGTTCCAACATTTCTGTCGGTCGACAGTGTAGTAACCGCTTGTGGCTGCTTATAAAGAGAAATAAACACTGGCACACTGACACCATTCATCAGGTACCTCTGGAGCACTCATAATCTGTGAATGACTAGACTGAAAGTCTTGCAGTATTTGTGAGACCCTATTTATGCACTACTATGGGAAAAGCTTGTTTATGGCATTACCAGAATTATTTCAAGCCCACGGTGAAAGAATGATTCATAAAAAAATGAGGAAATATATGTAAATTCAAAGCATTGCAGGGAATAGAATGCGTTAGCATGCTCTCATGCCTTAAGCGGTCGCTGGCAGTTATGATGCGGTCGATCACAGTCCAGTCTTAACCGCCATGCCATTAATGATCACAACGGGATTCTGGCGGCAATGTTTTCTTATGAGCACAACATCACACTTTAAAAACCTCGGCTATGAGATTTCCCGGGCTCGCACTCGCAGTGTGCGCAGCAAGATTATTTCTGGCTCGTTCCAAACTGTCAATGTCATAATCGTGTTTCTACGATATTTGGCGATCGGATACTATAATTAAGAAGCATGGACCCTGGAGAGGCAACTTGCAAAAACCTTTCGCTTGCTCTACTTCATCAAAATTCAGACTCATTGCTTACATTTAGGTCTTTATTTTTATTTATTGTTTTCTCGCGTGCGTTAATTTGTTTAGAAATAAAACCGCGTTCTGTTTATACATAACGTCCTTGGGTGGATATTCCGGGGACTGTAAATCAAGCGACGCACCAATAGATAAACACAACGGCAACGGCGTTCAAAATAGCAGGAACAAGAAATATTTAGGAAAACGCTCGTTTCACTTTCTCGCGTGCCCGAAATTCCGACAGCGCAGTTTGCGTCTCTACCAGCGCGCGGCTGGCCACTAAAAGACAGTAAATCGTCGACTGGAAGGTGAAAATCCAATGTTACGTCCGGTTGTAAGCGCCCAAACGTGAACAATCAAGATTTTGAGCGCTAAATCAGTTTCGAATGGCTGCAAAACTGTGCCGAAGTTTCAGCGAGGTTAGGTTACACGTTCGATCGCTTCACACATTCACTTTTGCGAATAATCCCTGAACGCAGATCGCCCAAGTAACGTTGTTCGGGTGCACGAACACTTCCATTCCTACGTTTTATAGAGCTCAAAACGCGCTACACAGCGTTTCGAGCTCAGTGTCGTGATCAGGCAGCACAGAGCGGACATTTTTAAGTAGTCGGTCGACGACTTCCTCCTATTTTTTGACACACGAGCCAAACAACTGATCGTATCTGGGGTAGCAGGCTCGAACGAGGAAGCAGCTCGACGCTTTACCGCGGGTCGCTCGGGGTGCAGTTTAGATTATTTAAACGTGAAAGAAAAGAGAAATTGGCTCGATTCAACAAACGATTCGCAGCGCTTACTAGAGGCCGCCAAAGCGGTTCTGACATCCGACGACAGGGCGTCGAGCTGACGCGATCGTCGCTTTCTGGGACACGAAAAACGAAATAACGCTTTCATATTTTCCCGACGGACCAGTCTGCAACGCGTAAATCGAACAATCGGATCGAATAAACGTGTAAAGAAGAGGGTAGCCGCTGGTCAAGCGAGCTGAAGTGGCCGAGCTTAGAGTTATCCCTAGTCGGGTAGGAAGGGGAAATGTTTACTTCCAGTCTTACTTACCTTTCGCTGCGGCTTTGAGTACATACAGAATGACGACGCTGTTTACGACAAAAAAATAAAATCTTGACATTTAAATGTTATAATAGTCGTACAACTATCATATTAACTTGTCCTAATCGTCAGGAGAGCCTTCCTGCGACGCTAGGCTCGGTTCGAAATGTTTTTGCGGACAGGCGGATTCGGCCGCTCGAGATTCCCGTACATCGGGACAAAACAGCTGTGAAATAAGTTCGATAAAATTTGTTTTGTTTAAACATTAAAGCTTGAGTTAATTTATTTATTCACTCCTCAAGTATTTATCAAAACGTGTTAATATTGTTTTTATTGTTATTTTTTTAACCCTCCAGATACTAAACTTACCCTGCTTACCGGAGAAATAAGTCGGTGACCTCACAGACTTTGCAGACCTTGGGGCCGGGGGAGCGATGTTGCAAGAGTTAATTTTTGAAGGCGCGTTTTTAATTTTGTGGTGGCCTTTCCTCTAAGTATTCACTGGCGCTTTTCCCAAGGTTCGCTCCGCTCGCCCGCGGAGGGGCGATTCGTGACAAACTGGTATTATGTGCGCTGTTGCCAAGGTAGCGGACCAAGTCAACTTTTCCAAGCCTAGCTTGACTTGACCTAACGACAGTTCACGTGCCCTAACAGAAAAGAGGTACCGTTTTGATTCACTGCTCAAGCTCAAAGGCGTTTTCATTTGTTGGCAAGCAACGTGGGAACTCGATCAGAAATGAGTATTAACTTCCTAGTGCCCATGCCGGGAGGCACTCACTCGATCGAATGACGTTTTAGCGAACGCCCACGCTTCACAGAATCACACTTTAGCGAATAGTCTGCCTATGCCACCTGCACATGTCTCTAGAATGAGAATGCCGGGGAGGTCTTTCAGGCCGAGCCGCCTCCAACGGGAGCTTCCTCGCTTCGTTAATACTTCGGTATCTTGTGAGCTGCGATTGTGCTCCTGCAGCTGATGCACGGTGGAAAGAAAGAGTCGCCCTGCCGTTTTCATATTGCCAGTGACTATATAACCTTAAAAGTATATTTGCAATGCACCACCACATACATAGGTGCTACATATTCACAGTAATTTGCTCCTTGCACTAGCCTGTAGTTTAATATGATATTCGCCACTATCGGGAAAACATGGTGGTCTAAAAGATGTTCTGCCGTGCCATGGGCCAGCTTGAGGCAGTGTTCGGGTTTCAGCAGGAAAGCATTGGACTTAAAATGGTTTGTGTGTGGTGTCGGTTGGCCATGTCTCGTGGACAGATCGAGCTTAGTTGCAGAAGACGAGGAAGTGCTCATGCTTGCACAGGCACGAGATATCTATGGGATTCTATCGAGACTGGAGCGATGCCAGGACCGGCTATACTTGTGTAAATAGGAGCAATGACATAAAACATGGTGTCAGAAGTGGGGTATCTATGTTCTCAGGGATGTCAGCATACCACTTCTAGGAAAGCCAGCAATCCATGGACTTTAGCTGCTTTCAGCAATCAACAGGGTCGAAATGACAGTAAACCCGAAAGTTGACTTTCCATCACTGTTCAACGGTTTGGAAAAGTTCCCTGGTGAATACCATTTGAAGCTTCAGGAGAATGCAATATCTTTTGCCCTAAGCTCACTACGTCATGTCCCAATCCATCTTTATGGGAAGGCAAAACAAGAACTTCAACGAATGGAGGACATCGGCGTCATCTCCCTCATTAACGACCCAACCGGGTGGTGTGCACCCATGGTGATCGCACCAAAGTCGACTGGAGCAGTGCGTATATGCGTCGACTTCACAAAATTGAATCATTATGTATTCTCCAAACTCGATGCTAATTCTGGGTTCTGGCAGATTCCCCTAAGTGACGAAAGCAAGAAATTCACCACATTCATCATGCCTTTCGGAAATTTTTTTCTTCAACAGACGTCCATTTGGGATCTCGTCGGCTCCTGAACACTTTCAAGAACAACTGTCGAACATCCTCGAAGGAGTCAGCATCGGCGTCTGCCTCAAGGACGATGTTCTGATCTAGGGTTCCAGCAAAGAAGAACACAACGAAAGACTGCGAAATGTTCTCCAGAGGATTTGCAGTGCAGGGGTCGCATTCAACAAGGACAAATGTTTGTTTGGGACATAAGAACTCGCATTTCTTGGTCACTGAATAGATAGCCCAAGAATTCGACCCGACCTCTCAAAAATCAAGGCGGTTATAAACATGCCACCACCTACATCGAGGACACAGCTGCAGACGGTCCTTGCAATGGCGACCTAGCTTGCTCAGTTTGTTGCCAATTTCGCTGAAATCCTGCAGCCACTTGCTTCAATGCACTCTAAAAAGCAAAAGTTTGCATGGAGATCAGTTTAGCAAAATGCCTTCGACAAATGGAAAACAGTATTGTTGTCCAAACCGGTCCTTGGTTTCTATGATGCCAAAAAAGAAACCGTAGTCTCCGCAGATGTTACTTTGTTTAAACTCGGTACCATCCTCCGTCAACATCAAAACGATGGTAGGCTGAAAGTTATCGCCTACGCCTCGAGTCTCCTGACTGACATGGAAAGATGCTATGTACAAATGGAGAAAGAAGGCCTTGCATCTGTGTGGGCGTGTGAGAAATTCAGCTATCTTGTTGGGAAAAAGTACAAATTAAGGACTTACCACAAGACACTCATGAGTCTATTTTCCTCCAAGTCGTGAAACGACCTTACTCCACGACTTCAGTGAATACACATGCACATGATGAGATACACCTATGATATAACCTATATTTCAGGAAACGAGATTCTGTCTGCCGACACACACTCAAAAGCACCCCTCCGCCTAGAAGGGTCATTTGAACTGGAAGAGGTTGAGGCATTTGTTTGCTTAGTGAGGTCAACCACCAGCGGCCAGCTCCAGCCTCCAGTGGCTGATAGACAGCCAGAAAACGGACTTGGTATGTCTGCGTATCGGAGGCTATTGCATGAAAACGTTGCCCTGCCGGCGTGACCTCGATAACAAAGTTAAGCCTTTGTGCTTTTTCCGTCACCAGTTCACCATCGAAGCCGATTTGTTTATGTTCGCGCAAGTATAATCTTCGTGCCAATATCTTGCAGATCCGAAATTTTGCGTCTTCTTCACGAGGGACACTTTGGTATTGATAAGACTCAAGTGCGAGCTAAAGGCAATATGGTGACCACGAATGATGAAAGAAATTGAAGAAAGAGTCAAGAGCTGTCACAGTTGCATCGAGGCATCAAAGAACAAAAAGGTGCTGCTAAAACCAACCAAATTCCCTGAGAGGCGTTGGTGTCGGGTGGCCATGGATTTATTCTGACAGAAACGACAGTGGTGGTTGATCGTGACCGAATACTTCTCCAGATACCTAGAAATAGCTCGCCTGGAGAACACAACCGCACAGGTTCTAGTGGACGACTGCAAGTCTATCTTCGCTTCACACGGAATTCCAGAAGTTGTCGTATCGGACAATGACGCACAATTTTCACGAGCTTCAACCTCAGAGTTTGCCAAGTTTGCTAAAGGATATGACTTCCAACGTTACCATTATCACAAAGTAACACACTTGCGGAGACTGCAGTGAAAATAATAAAGACCTCTATGGACAAGGCCTGCTCTCGTATCGAACTATACCCTTAAAGAATGGATACAGCACATCCAAGCTGCCTACGGGACGCCGATTGTGGGCAAAACTTCCTGTTCCGAACAGGCTTCTCAGACCAGCCATCCCAGACGTGCAGCAGCTCAAAAAGTTTGAAGCAGACTACCTAGTACCGACTCAAGCAACGGTCGGCTACAAGCAACGTTACCGTGTCCAAAATCTGCCAGACATTGCCGATAAAATAGACATATGGTTTGTTGATCTCCACTGCAAAGGTACCGTGCAGGGTCCAACGTCGGAGCTTGTGCCAATCAATAACCTACGCTTGAGAGTAACGACACTGACCTAGCTTGTGGCTTAAAACCAGTGTTGCCAGTTATCTGAAACTTTATCTGAAACCACAGGAAACGCTTTTCCGTCCTTCACAAATGCTTAAACAGTTCGCGAAAGAGCAAAGCAATATTACATGAGCTTCGTAACACTGAATCTAATGCTGAGGAAGTCGCACTTTTGAATCATGACGATCGGCAGTTGCGTCTGTTCTGCACAAACACCAAGATGGCGGCGCCCACAACAATATCGGTGAGCAGAGTGCCGATACTCTAAGGGTAGCTAATTTAGTTGCTCTAGTCGGAGCCACGCTCATATCTCGCCAACCCCCCAAAGCGTAGTGCGAAGAAATAGCACACATTTCATACCCTACAGAAATGAAGCCCCTCGCACCGTCAGAGATTTAGCGGGTCCTACGGATGGAGATGCGCAAGAACAGGCTGCAGGCAACGAGTTGAAGTATGGCTGGAGGAGAGATGTAGACTACAGAACGGATGTGGTGACACATCACATCCTCATACAAGAACAGGGTGCTGCAATAGACGTCCTTCTCGATATCGAAACAACTGACTACCCTGAAACAAGGAGTATATGTGGTGTCGGCTGGCCACGCCTGGTGGCTAGATTGAGCGAATTGCGGAAGACGAGGAGGTGCTCATGCTTGCACGAGCACGAGATGTCTATCGGATGCTAGCGGGACTGGAACGATGTCATTCACTGGACTCCTTATTTGAGGGCGCTTTTTAGAGCGCGTGCTCAGAACGAGCTCACATTATTAGGCTGCTAAGACCGGCAATCTGGATGGTGTGGAATGCACGTTGCAAAAAAACTGGAAGCTCGCTGTCAGCACATACTCAGCAGTCGCGCACATAGCTATGGTCGCCAGTGAATACTCCCCATACATGTGTAAATAGGAGTGATGTCATAAAACAGTTTGCCCCAATTTTTATTTACTACGTTTTAAACCTGCGGCGATTTGTTGGTGTAAGCGAGCTTCCAGAGGCTTGACTTTCTTCGGGGAAGCGATGGAAGGACTGTATTGCTGCGTTGATAAACGCACAATGGTTCACGCAAAAGCGTAGGTTTTGTTCAGAGCGACCTGGGCAACACACTGATTCGACACTAACAACGTCGTCATCGCGACAACTGTTCCGTCGCGCCAGCCGCCAACATGTAACTCAAGAAGCTACAAGGGACGGGTGGAAATCGTGAAAAGGCCTGTTCCATTCAGTTCAGAGGTTTCCCACTAGGTGGCCTTTGTTTTGACAGAGTCG